GAATGGTTCCTTGGTTGTGGTGCGCTTATCGGATCTACTAAATATCCAGTTGCTGCTACTAAGTAGATATATGTTTGTTGAAGAGATACTAACACAAGGCCAACGGATGTACTGCGATATCACATCATAGAGCAGATTACATTGGCGGATATAACGCTAACATGGAAATTCAATGAGAAGTGCATCTGCATGTGAGCAGCAGAGATCAAACTCTATCGATCACTCAAGGTCCGTGCTCAGACTTTGTGTTAAGTAGTTGTTGGTCTGTCTCAACAACATACACATAAATTATACAAATCCTAGTATATATGATCTACATAAACGTAAAAGTATCACCTCCCTTCTCGCGCATCATATTGCCCACACGCTGCGTGCCCACAATCCGTTCCAGCTTCAGCGCATCCCACTTGGAGAACAACGCCCGCACACCTCCCTCGGCCGCCTCGACCAACGCCGCTGGATCCAATCCCAGGAACCCGACAATCTCGCTATAGAACGCCGGGTTCTCAGGCACGCCGTACATGATGATCCGCTTGACCCCGCGGAGCTGGTACCGACGGAAGTGGTGCAGACGTTCCGTGTACAGCAGCACCGACTGGCGCCCATTCATGAAATACGAGCGAGCCCGCGCCGCCTCCCGCTGCTCGGTGTATTCGGAGATGGCTCCAAAGGAGACGTTGGTGGTCTGCTGCGACGTGGCGAAGTGATTACGCACGCGCACAAAGTCCAGGTACGACGGGATGAAGATCAGGGTTCCGCCGGCGCTGGCCTTGCCGCGACCGGAGGCAATGTCGCGCACCAGAGACGAGAGGATAGTCGTGGTGAAGTGCTTGAACCGCGCATCGGGGTCTTTCGCCGGCGAGAGACAGTCGAAGCGGGTAAATGTCTGCCTGACCGACACCGGGAGGGGGAGCTCGGTGATCGCGCCCGCGTGGATCGGCGTGGCCTTGACCCTGCCCGAGGTGTTGTGCATGTGCGTCGAGAACACCGAGTTCATCTCCGGAGTGACGAATGAGGTGAGCATGATCATCTGCCGCACATACCGCGCGTTGTTGTCCAGGTACCATGTCCGTACACGACTGAAGTCACATCCGTGTGCCTCTCGGGGCTGCAGGTTGAGGTGCTTCATGATGTAGTCGATGTGATCCCAATTTTGCATGAGCAATGCATCCGCATGATCGACGATAACTACTTCAATAGACGAGAGGAAGTCGTGATCGCGTTTCTTTACACTGTGAGAGGTTAGATAGAACGTTCTGGACCCGAGGGCTGAGCTAGTCGACTTACTCTGCCTGGTCCATGATGGTGCGTAGACCCAGTGGACTGGCCAGGATCATATCGGAGGTGTAGAATTGCGCAAAATACTTGACAGTCTTGCGGGTGAACTTGAGACCCAGACGAAACATGTCGTCGTCATTGCCACCGAAGAGCTCGCGGAAGTCATCCGGCTTGCTCTCCCATGACGGGTCATCAGCCGCCGAAAAGGTGTCGAGGAGACGTTTCTTGTTTTCTTGTTGCTCGGGTTGGAAGAAGCGCGTGATGGACTCGACGGCCCGCACACAAGCCTGCTTGGTAGGCAAGAGATAAAGTACCTTCGGCCGAGTGAAGCCCTGGTCTCGGACATCAATGTCGGCGTCTTGCTCTTTGGCCAAACGTGTATTGTTCTTGAGCACTCGATCGCGGGTCTTGAGCACGTGGTTGGTGGCGTGGAGGGCCAGAAGATCGCGCATCTGGGCCGAGTTGGATGGCGTCCGGGCTCCATACAAAACGTCCTGGTAGCCGAAGATGTACGGAGCAATGTGCTGGGCCTGTCCACCGATTTGGGGGAATTTATCGGAGGCTGGCTCTTTAAGCTTTCTCTTAAGCTGTACCGGATCTATATCAGCGGCCGTTTCAGTAGACTGGGGCTGCCACGCTCACCTTCACGCTTGAGATCTGCTTCATTGGAGGTAGCCAGGACGCATCATCTCCAGTATCTGGAATAGTGCGCACAAGCCTCAAGCCTTCTGGCAATTCCTTCTTTGCATTCTTCCACTTGTTCTCCCCAATAGCCTTGATCTTCTTGGCCAGCTCGTCTTCCGTAGGGTTCGTGAAGTGCGTGTCGAAAGGATCGTTGTCTGTCGGACATTAGTGCAATGGCAAAATAAATAAACAGCATAAGATCATACCGTCTTCGTCATCACTATCTTGTGCACCAGCATCTTCTTGATTCGCATTGTCCTCTTCATCCGAAGGCTCTTGCTGCTCTAGATCGTCCTCCCCGAGAGCCTCTTCGTCCTCTTCCGCAACAGGGTCCTCGCGAACGACCTCGACGGTTTCTGTATTCTTATGTTCGACCTTTCTCCTCTTGCGGGCTGGGCCCTTGGAGTCGGTAGATGTGTTCAACAGTTGTAGCAGCTCGTTGTAAGGACGACCGGACTTCTCCTCATCCTCTTCATCGCTGGACGAACCGACATCCATGGCTTCCTCTTCGGCCATACCACCCTCCATATGCTCATCGACAGGACCATCTTCACCGGACGAAGAATCATCAGACCTGCATGATTGGTCAGCTTTACTGTAGAGACCAGCGCGGAAGTGATGCCTCACTCTATGTCGGCAACCCGAGAAGCCTGGAAGGCATCGCGGCGCCCGACGGGCCCTCTCGAGCGTTTGCCGCGGCCTCTAGGAGCTCTGCCTCTTGGAGGAGCCATTGATAATAAAGTAAAGACAGAATTAAATTGGCTATGGCCACTAGAATAGCAACAATTCGGGGTCGATTGCAGTTGGGCGGATTATTTTTTCGCGGCGTTGGGGGGGAGTTGCTTATCTTATCTTAGCGCGAAATTCCCTTTGCGCACACACAATTTGAGCCTCGCAGCAGAACCTCCGTCGCGGCATCAGAGGCGGAAGATTTAATTAGTATCCCGAACCCCAGAGTGCCACTCTTTCCCCCCCACGGCCAGGACGAGATCAACCCGAGAGACCGCTCGACCTATTTTTCATCATGGCTGAAGCTGATTCCTTCCTTCACCTCGCTCGCCCTCTGGGCCCCGTGGCAGTGGGGACTGCACCGACAACCGCCCCTCTGAACGTTGTCATCCAGCCCCAGGTACGTGTTATATGGCTGGGTCTTACAGACTTTTCGACCAGGGTCATAGTGCTAACTCTCTGGGATAGGCACTCTTCTCGATCCTGGACCACTCCCTCCGTCGCAACGCTGACCAGGAGCGTGTCATCGGTACTCTGCTGGGAACCAGATCCGAGGATGGAACCGAGGTGGAAATCCGCAGCACCTTCGCTGTTGGACACACGGAGACGACAGACCAGGTTGAGGTGGACATGGAATACCAGAAGCAGATGCTTGCGTTGCACCTGAAGGCCAACCCCAAGGAAGTGCTCGTGGGTTGGTACGCCACCTCGTCCGAGCTGAACACCTTTTCCGCTTTGATCCAGAACTTCTACAGCGGCCAGGGTGATGGCACATGGCCTCACCCTGCCGTCCACTTGACCGTCTCCACCGAGGCTGGAAAGGATATCGAGACCCGCGCCTACATCTCCGCCCCCGTTGGTGTGACCGCGGAGAGAGCCGCCGACAGCGCCGCCTTCATCCCCGTCCCTTACGAGATCCGCTACGGTGAGGCCGAGAAGAGTGGTCTGGAGGCTATTGCTGCGGCCCGTGATGCTGAGGAGCGTCGTGCCAACATTTTCACTGATATCGAGGCTCTGGAGCGTGCGATTGAGGATGTTCTGGGCATGATCGACCGGGTTTCCCGCTATGTTGAGTCTGTCATTGACGAGGAGGCTCCTGCTTCGACGGCCCTGGGCCAGTACCTGCTCAACACCTTGGCTCTGGCACCTAAGGTTGAGCCCGCTGACATTGAGCGTGACTTGTATGTTGTCCCTTACCCTCCCCCAACCTTCAGTTATCCATTCGAAACCAAGTATCAAACTAACCAAAAATCAACAGCAACAACCACATCCAGGACGTCCTGGTCGTGTCCTACCTGGCCAACACCATCCGTACACAGATGGAGCTGTCCAACCGGCTAGCAACCGCCCAGCTGACTCTTGGAGGCGAGTCCGGCAGCGGCGAGTCGGGCGACAAGCGCGGCGGCCAACGGGGCGGCAAAGGAGGCCGGGGCGGGCAACAGCGGACTCAAGAACGGAGTGGAGAGGAGGCTCGCGCGTAAGAGGATATCATAGGGTTATTATAATGATACCTTTCCATTTCTCTTTTTAACATTTTTTTCATTTGTGCAAAATTCTTTTTCTTTTTTTCTTTTCAGTTTTATTTCTCTCGCCACGCAACAAAAAGCATGTCCCCCTTGATATCGTTTCATTTCCTGGATATATGATATGTTTCCAGTCCATATCCGGTTCCTTGTGCCAACCCAGGTGAACTGAAGTCATGTTGTATGGATGGAAGCCTACCTACAAGGGCTGGTTCCGCATCTAGCAATGGCAGGCATCAACATCCCTACCGATACGCGCCCCATCAATGATCACCCATCTTCCCTGGAAAAGTGAGCACCATAAGGGGCGGATAGGACCTTACGAAGACCGAACCCAACGAACCCCAAAAATTGAAAAGGAGGAAAAAGAAATAAGAATGAAAGAATGAAAGAATGAAAGAAAAGAGCAACGAACGGCGTATGGGAGTCCGTCTGTCTGGCTTGAAATGGAAGAAATAAATGGGAAAAGAGAGCAGAAAGAGATGCTTTTACTTACGTACATGCAATCAGCCTTGCAACAGAAGCTTGCATTTCGTTCTTGTCCATTTTTCTTGTATGTGATGTAGGGTAAGGTAGGGTAGTTTTGGTGGTTTGAGGTACATATGCAGTATATTTGTGGCATGTTCACTTTCATGTCTGTTTAGGATTCTATTGATAGTAGACGTTGCAATAGAGTAGTATTTAGGGCAGATCACCTCTTATCGATGCAGCTTTACCTTTTACGGTAATGATAGATCCCCTGATAATCTTCATCAATTCAGGGAGCTAGTTAGTTTTTAGCTAAGTAGGATTTTCAATCTTGATACATCAGTAACGCCCCCCAATGCCGACCAGATAGTAGTGGATATCATATATGTTTAGAAATGCAGGTGGAACAACCCAACCCCTGTAGACCCGAACGCCAGAAAAGAATAAAACGAAGCAGCAGCCAGAGCAGCAAGGAAAGGTATCGGACGAGATCATTTCAGCTCATCCTACGACCTTTCGCTTCTTCGGCGCCGTATCCTCTGTTGCATCGGAATCGCGCCTGGCATTTCTCTTCCCCTTGCCCTTACTCTTCTTCCCATCAACGCTTTCACCAAGTTCTTCAAGGCCCTTCTTGCCCGCATCCTTCAAGTTACCAACCTGATCATCATTCTGATCAAATGCCTTACGAGCCTCTTTCAGCTCACGCTCCATGCGAAGAAGTTCCTGCACACGACCAAGCTTGTTCGGATCCCGGCGCAACGCAAATCGGAAGTCATCGACCTTGATCTTCTGTCGGCGGGAATAGCTGGCGTACTGTGCCGCACCGTGACACATTTCGAGAACGAAGTCGGTGACAATCTCGTCCAGTACACGGATGGTTTCGGGAAGTGGCTCGGGGGGATAAGATGGATGCGGACGGGGATCACCATAGGCAAGAAGGAGGAGACGGACTGATATGTGTGTTAATGTTAGCAACGACGACGATATATCTATAAAGTGATTGTAGCCAACGACGTCGGACGTACGTTCAGATGCAAAGTTCATCTGACCCTTGTGCCTAGCGGCACGGGCTCGTGGTTCCGCCATGTTATTCTTCTTCTTGGATCCCTTGTTATTGTTATTCTTGGTGCTATTGTTTGAGGGCTGTTCGTCCGCTTCGGCGACGGGTTGCGGTTTAAAGGCGGGACGGTATCCGGCGCGGATTAGTTCTGTTTCCTGGGGATTGAACGGCCAAGCAGAAGCGAGCTGACTCGACACATGGCCAGTGCTGGGTTGACGGGGAGGGGCTGGTGAAGCCCTAGAAGTCTGCTGCGATGGCAGAGAACGGCGGAGAGGCTGCGAGGCTGGACGGGCAGCAGAAGATGTGTTGCGAATTGAAGCAGGAGCTGCGGCGGAACGATGGCCGGACTTCCGCGCGGAAAGGCGGTGGGGACTCGTGACGGAAGACATGGTGGCAGAATCACTTGGTTTGGTTGCGCGCGGGACGGAAGTCGTTCTGGCTCATCAGTTGTTACTTCTCGTCTGTTGGTTTACACGACCGATAAAAGGTACCTTTTGAGATACATACAACCTGGGAGGGATTAGAGCAAAGAAGAAGAAGAAAGTAATTAACAGGTAGTGAGGTTTCCAACGACGGGAATATACCCTCAAGATGGTCAGTGAATATACTCCGCAATCTTCCCTTCCCACTTGCTGCCACTTCTACTGGTGATGGATCGTTAACTTCTAGTGCATGATGCAGTCTGCCTTGTTCAACTTTCAATCACTTCTGCTCGTGTTCTTGCTTATCATCTGCACAAGCACATATGCGCACTCGATGATGCCTGGGATCATGGACCGCAATCAGAGCGGGTAAGTGCTGCTGACTGCTGCTGTCTGCAGTGGACCTCATGTCGAGTCTATGAAGTGATATGGTTCTGACCTGCTGTTGTCTTAGCTTTTTTGGGATCTTCTGGAAGTGTGCTCGAATTGGTGAACGGTTGAGCCCGTATGTCAGTATATGCTGCGTCGTGATGGCTGTAAGTATACCCAAGCACCTTGCGGGAACCAACCACTAGCTTAAATTGCAATGCTAATGCCCATGTTCTTGCCAGGTCTCGATCTTCTTCGGTGGCTGATCGACTCGCCCCAACTCCTTGCGGTCTCAGATTAGATGGTCATTGTACCAGGTGGTGGCGTTACTGAAGCTTCTCTTTTCGCATCTTCTTTTCTTGCAGGGGTCTCATGATTATTGATCTGTATATCGTACATAAATTCTACACTATCAGGATGTCTATGTTCAAAAAAGATTTTGTCCCAAACCACCGTAATCCCAGGTCCGCGCTAGAGATGCAAGAGAATAAACAGAAACAGACGGGAAACAGAAGAAAGGGTATCTCATGCGTTGGCCTTTAGACGTTGCAGGCCTCGATCGAGCAGCTGCTCAGTTTCCGCTTCGTCCAGCTGGGGAGATTCGGGGTTCGGATTGAAAGCATCCCTCCTCAAGTGTGAGGCAGATTTCAGGTCCAGCTGTTCCACAGCAATCCAGAGCTGCTCCGGATCCCGGAGGTAGCGTAGGCCCTTCATCGTGTAGGCATCGATAGACAGGCCCTGATCCTCGAGGTCCTTGATAGACTGCGCGATGGCAGATGCATTCTGCTGACTCGCAAACCCGCTGATGATGACATTCCAGGTCGTCATACTGTATACGACTCCATGCTTGGCCATCATCTCTCTCACCTTCTCAGCCGCGAGTGGCTGGTTATTGTAGATGAAAGCACTCAACAGCAGCGTCCAGGTCAAGACCGTTGGCTGCGTCTGCGTGGAAGTTGATTCAGAGCTGCCAGTCTTGGCGTCAACCTCAGTAGCAGACTGTAGCATATCTTCAACAACGCGCACAGCGGGTCGTAGCCCGTGTGCATTGTTGCGATACGCAAGCATGAACTCATTGTAGGTATGGTCGGTCGCAGCTAGAGGGGCTATATCTTTGTGGCCTTGCAACACCAATTCCCGGAACCTGGTATAGACACGTTCGACACTGCCCACGTGGGCTTGACACCGAAGCCAAGTCGCAATAACGAGATACAAGGCAATGACTGACGGTGGCGTCTTCTCGCCAGTCGTTGGAAGATCGTATTGACGAGGGACAATCGAGAGCTCCTTCAAGGGCGTTATGTCATGCAGCTCACAATACATGCGCAACAGAGAGTAGAAAATCTCCCGGCGGTCGGTAGCACCATCGAGGTGCTTCACGTTGAAAACGAAGTGAGAGTGGAAAAGCTTGCTCGCAATATAGGGGTTCTTCTTGAGCTCTGGCTGGCTTTCAAGTTCCTCCATCAAGTGTGTCATTCGCTCTCTGTCTTGACGAGCGACAGCATCGCTAAGTAGAGTCAGATAAGTGTACGAATCAAGCTGGAAGCCTTGAGCCTTCATGTGGCGTAGTACGTCAAGCCCTAATTGAGGATCCCCTGTCTTGAAGGCGTTGGAAAGTACCACGTTCATCATGTCTCGGTCGGGCTGCACCCCCATACTGAGGAGTTCGGGAAGAATGCGGAAATTGCGTCCATCCGGACCATCCACAACCGAGTCGAGGACTAAGAGCTTGCTGCAATGGCGTGAAACCGCTATCTCCATGGGGCTCTGATGTAATCTCCAAAACTGCCGCCCAGCCCTGCGCAGTGCCAGGAGTGCGTTGTCAACGTCTTTGAATTCCGTGAAGCGGCCCATGAAACCAAGGTAGGTCTCGCCCTTCAATCTATGTTTCCTGGTCTCCACAAGATCCCAAGCCTCATAGACGGCACTACGGTCAGCCTTCTTTATGAAGAAGCGCACACCCTTCTGCGGCACATAGGAGACAGGCCACTGCATGGGATCCAAGCAGGCACGTATGACAGACTGATAGTTGTGGGAATTCTTGGTCCACCGCTGCATTTCACGAGAATGAAGAGTGTCCAGATATATCAGACAGTCCGCAATCATGGCAAAGACTGGCTTAACAGAAGCCTGACAAGTGACTAAGAGGAATTCCAAGGCCAGCTCAGGAGAGTTCCGCAATAGCCACAGCGACAATCTTCCCCAGTGGATCTCCATTTCCAGCGGAGTAAGGCCATTCCAGGCCTCACGGAACGCCCCTAAACTGTCCGTTTGAATTGTCTCCAGCAGCTCCTTATCTTTCGAGTCTAGAGGGTAAGGCACCAACTCTTCCTGCACTTCTCTCCCATCGTACTTCGCTTGGAATAACTCTCTCTGCGCAAACCTCCATTTTCGAATATCATCGCCACTGCACGTATATGATCCGGACCTGATAGCCAAATCTAAGGCTTTGGTTTCTTTTCCAAAACGTAATGTCAAGAGCGGCTTCACATCGCTGAAGCTCGCGAGGGTAGGCGGGGTACGCAAACTGCGTTTCTGCACGACGGATAGTGTAGTGTTTTTGTTGATGAGCGATAGTAAAGTTGCATTGCGAGAAGCAGCTCCGGGTGACAGAAGTGAGAACTCCCTTTTGGTAATCGAGGGCTGGTTATGAAGTACACTATTCCCTGCAGATCGGCCGAAGGTAGTTGTATGGAAGAGGCGTTGGGTCTTCATTTCCGGAATAACAGTGCTGTAGACACTAGAATGCCTCACACCATTTGAAAATTTATCTGGCTGACTGGACGTATTCGATTGCGGCGCATTGTCGACAAAGGATCTTGCATCCTGGGGTCCTTCTCTCCGTCGCCCGAGGCGGAGCCTATGCTGCGGGTTGTAGACCGGCAATCCAGCGCAGACGCGGGAACGCGGGAGATAGTGCGGACAAGGTAACATTCAGACTCACAGCTTGTTCAGCTCATATCTCGATTGAAAGTTGCGAGAACAATCACCGCGCGGGTTTGGGGCCGGAGAACGAAGGGAAGCACGATTGTTGTAGCCAATAATCTTTCCCTCCGCCGCCGGATTTTGCTCCGGCGCCGATGTGGCTGGTGCGTTACAGATGTGGCGCAGCACCGCCTGATAACCAAAGCACAAGCAAGTATCTACCGAAAGATCATTCTAGACTTCATCATCACATCGTCTCAGTTCTCGGGTGACGCGAGACCCTTTCGAAGAGACTCGGAGCTTTCTGCGGGCAGAATAGAAAAGATCGTTACTCGTTTCTCACCCCGTACTTACACCATATCGTGAAATCCTTCCCCCCGCTCGATTTTTATATCCGACCCTCCTCCCCCCGCCGTGATGTCGTCGAATCATGCTTCTCTCGATGCGGCGGCAAATGAGCGCAAAGCACGCCTTGCAAAGCTTGCTGCGCTGAAGCGGAAACAACCAGAGCCAGAGCCATTGACCGAAGCTGGTGCCGCTGATGAAGAATTGGAAGATGCTGCTCCAGATGTAACAAAGCAATACCTCTCCGGGAGGAACTACGACGCAGAAATGCGCGGCCCAAAGCTGGGCTTCGACACCGCCCCATCAGATGGTCAGATTACCGTGGAAGCGCAGGCTGCAGAAATCGCAAGGGCCACCGCAGAAAAAGCCAAGGAGGATGAGGAAGGTGACCAGCCCATTGACCTCTTCAAGCTACAGCCCAAGAAGCCGAATTGGGATCTGAAGCGGGACCTGGATGAGAAGATGAACGTCCTCAATGTTAGAACTCAGAACGCGATCGCGAAATTGGTCCGCCAACGGATAGAAGAGGCACAGCGCGCAGCTCAGGCGAAAGGAGCAGGTGCCAATGGAGGTGAACAGGGCGAGGAAGTCGGCATTGAAGGTGATATGTTGGTCCAGGGCATTCATGTCCGTGAGAGGGAAGAGGAGGAGGCAGGCAATGATCTGGAGGATGACGAGGCATGATTTTGATACCCCATTTGAAGATGTATGGTAGCAGTTGCGATTCGGTCTCATCTCTTTGCATCTTGCTTTTACAGGCGCCCACAGTTGGAGGATTTGGGACAAGTGTCGCAAGGCGTTGAGGATCTCTGCATACGGTTTACTTGGAAAAATTACTTTCAATGCATTAGCCTTCTGTATGGTCTTACTATAGTACAGTCTCCGTTTATAAGCCTTGGAGAACCAGCCCGTGGTGATGAGCCTCGAAAGAGGGAAAACGCCAAACTCCCGCACATCCGTTGTCCAGTACTTTTTCTATTCAAAACCTCAAGCCAAAGACACCTAGTTGCCCAGATTCATGGACTGCGTCAACGCAAGACGCTTGCTGTAAGGACTGAGACTCCTCTCACGGGGCGGAGGCGGCGCGCGTCCTTGGCCCCGTCCGTCTTTCTGCGAATGACTCGGACCATCCCTATAATCTCTTGAAGCAGGATAGCCACGCTCTGGTCGCTTCTCTGGGGTCGCAGACCGTCTCGTCCTGGCAATCCGGCTGTGATCCACGCTCTGACTTCGGGTCCTGTCTCGTCGTTCACGATCCCGTGACAGGTGTCGAGGCCGGCCTCGCTCTTCAGGGCTGGATTCTCGACGTCTCCGCCGGGTGTTCCTGT